ACGGTAAACAACGAGGAGGGAAAATGGGGCAGATTAGATAACAAGTAGTGTGAGGCTCTTCTTCGCTCCCCCTGCATGGAGCTCTTCAAGTCCCAGCCAGCAGTGCACAGCTTGGGCTGTGCTCCCTTCTGCCAGGGTGGGGACAATTCCACGTCCCCAGGGCCGGGTCTTCTGTCCTCCTGCCCCAGCACAGCTCCACCTCCTGCTTTGGGGCTTCAGCAGCACACAGATGTGGGTGTTTGGGGACTACATCCCCACTGATGGACATCTCTGCCCATAAGATCCCAGCTCTGCTCAGCTTCCTCCCCAGCAGGTCACCTCCATGAGGGCAGCAGCAGGCTGGGTGACACCGTGCCACTCCATGGCATGGCAGGAGCAGCACAGAGCACAAACAGAAATGTGTGACCACCTCCCCAGCCTAGGAGCAGGGCTGGCATCTGCTCCATTTGGGGACATGGCACCATCACCAGCAAATCCCAGGGCTGGGAGAGCAGCATCCCACCACGGAAGGCTGCAGATGAGGAACACACTCAGCTCCCTCTGCTGGCATCTACTCCAGTCCAGGCCCAGGTATGGTGGAGATTTCACTACTGCAGATGAAGATGTAAACAAAATAAGGGAACACACCAAGCTCTTAAGCCAGCCCTGATCCCATAATATGTGGTGGAGCAAACAATGCTGCTGCTTACCTGTGTGTGCCATCTGCTGCTGCACTTGGTTTTCAGTGCATGCTTTTACTCAGCTGTTTTATGAATGGGATATGGTTGAGATTAAGTTCCCTTAAATCATTTTTGCTTAACTGGCCCATTTCCCATTAACGCACAGGCTGAGCGCACAAATTACAGCTCACAGCAAGCTTCCAAAGAAAACCTCCACCCAAAGCTGTTTCCACACATGGAAAGTGTGAGAAGGAGCCCCACCTGGGAGGGGGGGAGGGAGGGGGAAATACCACCAGAGCCACATGTGCACAAAGGTGTAGGGATGGGTCCAGGGATGATGCAGGATTTTCTTGTGCAGCAGCCACAACAGTGAGATGACCTCCACTATAGCAATGGCAGCAGGTATCACAGAATGGCCTGGGTTGAAAAGGACCACAGTGATCATCTGGTTTCAACCCCCTGCTGTGTGCAGGGTCACCAACCAGCAGCCCAAGCTGCCCAGAGCCACATCCAGCCTTGAATGCCTGCAGGGATGGGGCATCCACAGCCTCCTTGGGCAACCTGTTCCAGTGTGTCACCACTCTCTGAGTGAAAAGGTTCTTGCCTGCTTGGGAGACAGCATTAGGAGGGAGGTGTGATCACACTGTCCTGCTCTGGTGAACTTCTGACAGGTTGCAACCCTAAAGACAAACAGATTCTTTCAAGCAAATAAGCAGTCAATGAAAAGTTTGGTGGGGGGAGAAAAGGGGAGGCATCCCAACCTATCCAAACATAGACTTGTTTTAAAGCCACCCGTGAGCAGCCAGAGCTCAAGGGGTGCATTCTTTTCGTGGTGCAAAATAAATACCCATAGGCACAGATAGCAGGATGTCTGTTCCCTGTGAGGCTTTCAGTCAAGCTTAAAACAGCACATGAAAGCTCCAGGCACTTATTCAAATGTTAAAAAGCAAACCCAGCACACACATATTGAGGTTTCTTGCAAGGATTAGTAACAAAGTCACATGTAAGCAAGAGATCAGCTTTACCTAAGCTGCTCCAGAATATAGTTTATATAGGCAAATGTTTCGGCTGGGTGCCCTGAGCAGCAAAGGCCTGGCTTGGGAAATGCCACCAGCCCAAGTGACAGTGCACGTGGCCCCAAGGACCTTCACATGCCCTCATCCACGGGGACACCAGACACCCTCCCTTAGTGCTTCTCCCCCAGCATCTCCCACCCCAGGTACCTGCACTGCGTACCCAGTGCAGCCCAATGGCACCCTCCTGGAATGGGAGCTCCCAGGACAGCCCCCCATCCTTCACAGGCTCTCCTCCCCCATCACCTTTCACCAGAATGGAGCTCAGCCACTCGTTACACCTTTACCCAGACTGGGAAGTTTGATTAACTCAGCACACACTGAATTTCTTCTTTTTAAAGCGAGTTGGAGGAAAGGCAGAGAGAGAATGGAGTGTATTTCCTTAGTAAAATGCTGGGGACAGGAGAAAGAAGGGCACGTTTAACTGTAAGATGACAGATTCAGAAGTTTTTTTTCAGCTTCAATAAAACTCTCAATGGCCACAGAACATTTTTTTCTGTGTTAATTTAATCATACAAATATTCATTTATACATTAAGGAAAAAGCTTCCTTTTTATTTATTTTTTTTTACCCCCAATGTGCTATCGTAGGACTTCTCCCAGACTCAATGAGGCAACACACCATCCTGTTCTACACATGCACTCCCCCCAGAGAGAATAGACAGGCTGCAGAACCACCCACTCACTCACACAAGAAAAGAAATTAAACACACAACAGAAACCCAGACGTGGGACAGCGTGCATTCCCAACCCTGCAGGCTCCGGCTGCTCTCCAGCCCACGCAGCTTTGTCCCCATGCTGCAGCTCAGCACAGCCCACCCCCAGCAGAGCACGAAGACTTTGGGGCTGAACTCCCACCTCCACTGTGCTCTGACTTTTCCTGGGCTCGCAGAGGCTGCACGGACCACTGCTGGTGCCCAACACAGGGATCCAACTTTAGAGAGCGGAGATGTATTGCAGCATTTTTCCTTTTTGTGGGTGAGGAAGATCTCTTTCTCCTGCTCAGGACAGATGGGTGTTAATCAGAGACTGGAGCTGCAGCCTCTGTCACTGCAGCCTTCTGTACTGGTGGGTGCCAGCCCCATTGGGGTGATGCAGCCTCCCAATGGTTTCCTCTTTATTTCTCACAAGCCTGAGCTGTGTGTGCATAACCCACCTCGACTGGCTCCTGTGAGCTGCAGCACAGCACAACCCAGCAGCAATCCTGACAAGCCATGCCACTGATTTCACCTGTCTGGCGTTCAAGTCTCCACGAGTTTGAATGCATCAGCCCTAGAGGAATCGATACGGATCCCCCCACAACACCTGAACATCTCAGACCTCTCTATTTAAGATCAGGAAAGCTGACAGCAAGAGCAATTTGAGGGCTGGCTGTATCACTGCATTTCAAGGAACCAGAGGAGATAAAACCACCTTTGGCCTCAGAGAAACAGTTCTTACAAGAGGAAAAACCCAGAGGTAGAGCAACCTGTAATTTCAGTGTTCTCTCAGTGTCACAGCAAGGGTTACAGCCCTGACTCCCAAAGCACCTGCAGCTCTGCACCATCGTTTTCAGAGGTCATTCCTACAGATGAGTGCTTATGCTCAGCTCACCAGGGAACAGCTGCAGTGTGAGCAGCACGAGGCTGCAGGTTTCAGCAGCACCTCAGCTCTGGCCCTGCCTTTCTGCACACCCTGGAGTAAGCAACTCTTGCCACAAGGACACCGTGGATTGAAAACACCCAGGAGAGAATCCAGATCTGTGCCGAACAAGTATGCCTTCTGAGTGGGAAAGCACAGGACTACTTGGGGTGCATCATGCAAGCTTTTCTCAAGAAAAGGAAGATTCATTCCTAGCAGGAGCAGCACAGGAACACAAGCGTGGCAGCCATTCTCTACACGAAGAGCAGACGTGCCTGGGAGCAGAAAGCTGAAGTGGGGGGATCTGAGGCTCAAGGGTCTCCCAGCTGACACAAGGCAAAGGTTGCAGCACCAGCTGCTGTATGACACTGAGGTCTAATTTCCTTCCCCTGCCCCCTTCCATTACACAGCTGACAAAGGGAGCTAATAAAGATAAGGAATCATCTCATCATCTGGACAAACAGCAGTCTGCAGTGTTTTAGATGCTTTCAGAAGGGCAGTGGCAGTGTTGTAGATGTGATGGTCAAGTTCGTGCCTTCAGAGCTTGGCACATTAACCACCTGCTCAGAAAGGAAGGAGCAGAGGAAGAATCCACTTGCCCAAGCTACAATGCAGCAATGCAAACTACTCCCTAGACTGAATGCTAAGAGAATACAACTTCATCAGGGCAGAAAGATGTTACAGGACAAGAACAAAACACTGCAGTGGCACCAGGCAGTGCAGCACTTCCTTCCATGGACACATTCAGTCTGAATCTGTACCACTTACCCAGCTCTAGCAAGCTGCTGCCATAGATCCAGGTCCGTTCACCAAACCACACGTGCTCCCAAAGGTCCAATTCTTCCTCTGCTGGCTCCAGAGAAGACCCACTGTCCTCCACAAGAAGCACCTGTGTGCTCTGATTGGCAGCTACAATGCAAACTGATCCCCCATTCAAAACAAATCAAGAAAATGCTGCATACCATGCAGCAGCAAGCCTGCGCTCTGCTCTGAAAGGAGTCTGCACCAGAAAGGTTGGGAAGAAGGTTGTGGGGTATTTGCATATCATTGTATCTTTGGCAGTTGGCTCTTCTGGCCTGCAGGACCCTGGTAAGTCAGTGGCCCTGCAGAAGGACCTGTGGGGACACAGTCCCTCAGGAACCCACAAGGCCGTCCCCCCCTCCCTTCACGCTGGGCTTTCCAATCAATAACTGCATGAAGATACACTGGAGGAACAAGAGAGCAACCCGTATCTTTAGAGGAGCAAGTCCTCCTCCAGCAACAAGCCCTGGAGAGCCCGTTGAAAAGGTGAGAGCCTCAAAGCTATACAAGCCAGGACGATAAAGGCGAATGAATACAAGGCGACAGAGTGGAATCCAGCTGCTGATTCTAACTCTTGCTCTACATTCAAAAATGCAAAGAATTAGCCTTCTAAGCTTCATAGCAGGAGAAAGGAATTCAAACTTATACTGTATGAGAGAGATGGGAGATTCAAAACTAATAAGGACGTGACTCGCAAAGCTTCGCGACTATCAGCAAGTGAATTACAGCTACAGAAAAACAGTTTCCTCTTGGCACAGGACCAATACACTTGCTTGGTTGCTCTAGGCACAGCTATTGTACATCAAGAGTTAACAAAAAAAAAAAAGTATTTTAAAATGCTAACCACATAGGACAGCTCTGGAACTTTAATAAATCTGTTCCTTATTAATATAGTTGTGTATACAAGCACTTCATGTACAAGAGGAAGGGAAATGAGCCCTCCTGTTATCCTATCCCAGTCCCAGAGTCCCTCTCTTCAACTGTGATGCTGAGACCTGATCCTCAGCAGGGCAACTGACAGCAACACTCAAACCAAAAGGAAAAAAATAAAGACATAAAAAGAATTAAGAAGTGGGTAAATAAAAGCAGAAGGTGAAATTAAAAAGACTGAGCTGGGTACAGACCCAACCTGCCATTAAAACACATCCAACACAAAGAAGTCACTGCACAAACCCCCAGAAGATGCCAAGCAAATGTCCATTGGGTAACAAGCAAAACATGACAGTTCCACAAAAATGCACGCTGTCCCTTATTTAAAAAAATACGAACAGGAAAGAAACAAATTAAACATTTGCTCAAACTACAACCGCTCCGTAGGCAAAATTTTTTTAAAAAGATGGCTTTTTCATTTCATTTTCTCTCTTCTCAAGCTACCTAATTATTCTGTGTGAGAATGACTTCTAAAAAAAAAAAACAAAATCATGGTGTTGGTATAGTTTCCTTCTCATAGCATTAAACAACACTCCTGAAATTCAGCATTCACACATGCATACTGAGATCTTTCCTCCGGAAACAGTCTTAAGTTATTGGGCTTTTGATATATTTTTTTTTCTTCTTTATCCAGAACATGGAGGCAGAGAAGGGGGGTCCACGCTGTGTCTGTTTGCCACATGAATCCCCCTCTCCCTTCCCCCAAAAGTCAGTTCTTTGTTAAATTCTCCTCTTGCCGATACCCGTTTTGTGTGTTTGTGTTTTAAGACTGTCCGAAGGGATAAGGACCGTGGAAACCCTGAAAGAAAGTTGGAGACATGATCAATTTCAACAGGCAAGAAACGCACGCCTACAAATAACGACCATCCCATCCCAGTGCTGCTACGTTGGATGCAACCCATCGCCCATCAAAGCAACAGCCCCAGCTGTCCAGCCTTAAAAACACTCCAAAAGGAGCTGCTCTCCCCTGACACAACAGCTGCCACCCACTTACCTCTTTCAGGTGTTATCTAGGCCAGCTAACAGCCAGGCAAAACGCTTCTCAGGTGCTACAAGGCCACATAAATAACTACTGACAGCTTCTACACCAGAGCAAAAGCCATTTGTAGATGCTACTGTCCCTGCAAGGCCAACAGCTGCGGTCTCACAAGTCTGTTGTAAAGGTTACAGCAAATAGTAAGGCCATAACTGATGGAAAAGCCTACTTAAGAAAAAGCAGCATTTTGAAATCCACACACATCATGTGCACTTCTTAACAATACACTTTTTTTTTTTTTTTTTTTTTTACAACTGAAAGTCAGCCACAACATTTAAGCAAAAAAATTAAAAGCTTACTACGGAAGCCACTGTCTCCTCATTTACATTCTGAAGTGAGCAGCCTGACAGATCTAGTGACAAGTCTCCAGCTAAAAGGAACTCCTTTCTGTAATTCCCATTGTTCCTGATGAGACACTGGAGAGCTGAACAAAGCAGTGAGCAGGCAGGCAATGGATCTCACATCCCACAGAAAGTTTGTCACAGGGATGAAGGTCAGAGCCACGCCAAACCCTCCCCTAAGATCCAGGTATACATTCAGGTCAGAAGTGAGAGGAGGGAGGAAAAGCTTGTATTTCACTATCAGAGCTGGAAGCTTTGTTTCTTCAGGTCATCCCCTGGCTGGCTTGCTGCTAAGACAGCTCAATTAGCACAAAGCCATCCTCTGTCTTTCAGGGAAGCTCTGACTTCAAGTTTTCACCATTTCACCTTTAACAGGAAAAATCTCAAAGGAAACATCATTTCCTGCATGTTCTGCTGCAGCTCCCTCACAACCTTGCTGCATTGGCCACGAAACAATGAGTCTTTAACATGACTCACATAAAGCAAGCACCAACTGCACTATCTTAAGATCCATTGCAAAAGTTCAAGAGCTCCGCTGGGTATCTGTTACAAAGCAGGTGCTATCAAAGCCAATTATTTTGATACAGCTAGTGAGAAAAAAGTTAATTCTTTAGGATATCTCAAATGACAGAATACAAGGCAATGGTCAAATGAAGCATCTACCAGCAGCTCTCAAAATTCAGCCCAAAGAGGATTAGCAATTAAACAGGACATCTTACAAACTAATTGGGAAATACGGGAAAGAAAGCAGAGAGCTGGAAATTGCTGCTTGCAGAGGGAAATGTGCACAAGTGATGGGAAAACAAGCACACCTCAGCTCTAGGAAAACGCTGCATCCCCAGTCTGTGTTATCTTCAAGAGATAACACCCAACAGACTCCACAACAGCTCGCCTCTGAAAGCAGGAGCTCCCACTAACAATATGAGATAGCATGTACAAAAATACCATCACTGCTATCAACAGGAGGAAGAGCAGAAGGGAAACTGCATTAAAATAACGTGAACAGGCACACAGACGTGCACACAAACCAAAGGACAGGGGATGAAAACAGCGTTAAAAACACCAATCATCAGCAGCCTCATCTCAAAGGGACTCAGCTGTTGTACCTACAGACAGAAGGCAGGATTTGCTGCTGATTACCTGTGCAGACATTTGCCAGGACTTGCTTCACCTTACAACTGCCTGCACAGAATGCTTTGTTTGCAGGCAGTGATTGCAAGCTCTCACCAACCCCACAGTGGTCTCTCTCCAGTAACAGCTGCCTGCTCCCTCTGCTGGGTGCTGCCTGCTGCACAGCAGAGCCCATCACTTACATTTATCACAGGCAAAACCTCTCTTTTGTTTCATTTGTGCATCCCATAACCAAGGCTCCTGTATTATCTCATGGCACAGAAGAATTAACACAATTAATTAGCACACAGCACAGCTGCTTTGCTTCAGTCAGACATGGGAAGAGTTCATCAGCCTTTCTGTACACAGAGGCAGCCCCAGCACAGTGCATATCAACCTTGTTTTCAGGGAAAGCCTCTGGAATTCCAAATACTATATTACATAGCATGTAATTTAAAGCTAAACTGTTATGCTAACAGGGTTTTGCTCATATTTGGAGTGTTTTGATTACTGAGCACCCAAAGCTTGGTGTTGCCTGCTACATTGCACTTGACAGGCTGACATCTCCAGCTGAGCTCCTCTCCTCCCTATTGCAGCAGTGCTAAGGGCAGCCTCAGAGCCTGACTAAGGATAACTTCTCTTCATGCAGTGAATTTCATCACAAAGAAAGAGCCCAAAGTCTTTGGTCATGGGATCACCATAATGCAACACTGCATCTGAGGAGCTCTTGGTGGAGTTTCACTTACCTACGAGATTTATTAGGACATATGAGAAGTTACAAAGAGTTAGATTTGTTTCTTAAAGGCAGTGGCAACTTGGTTTGGCATCAGACCTAACAGACCTCCTGCATGGAAAGAAATAATCTGTTTTAACCTAGCAGGAAGATTAGGCTCCTGATGGCAGGAAGCATTTGTTCAAGTTCTGGATATTTGGGGGGGGGAGAAAAAAACAAATGATTCTAAAAATCACATTTCTGCATCCTAAAGCAGTTCATTAAGCTCTGTGCTTTTCTGTTTGGTTAAAACCTGGGGACAGCAACACTTGTTAGGAAAGGAACAGCAATCTAAGTAATTTTATTCAGGTGTTTTATGGGCACATCCTTCCTGTGATATCTTTCAGCAAGAAACCCTCACCCCCTTCTGTGAAGGAAGAATACTTTCCTCTTCCTCAGTAAGGTGCAAGCTCTTTGCAGAACATTTGTTCCTCATTACATTTATTCAATGAACAGTGATAACAGCATCCTCGTACATAAAGCCTGCAGTTACTGCTGCAATGCAAATACCAACCTCCACTATAGGACGTTTCCAAGAATAATTATCCCTTGTATGCAAGATTTCACACCATAAACATGCAAAAATAATTCTGCATGCCAACGCAGTTTTCCCAAAGTTATTTTAGCTGGAGTGTTTCACGCTATTTTTGGTGAATTCCCTTCTATTCTCACAATGAGATGGCTGTTTTTATGAAAAGCTCAGCTGCAGCTTTGCAAATTTACTTTCAGTTCTTCCAGTGTCTTCCACAGAAGTAACTGCTAACTTGCTGGTGAAAGCATTCTGGCTATTAAGACAAATACACGAGCACAGAGGACCCTGTTTTTTCAAGCAAAGATTGTACATTAAAACTGTTATGAGTAATCATTTGACTTTATTGTCTAAAAGGGAATTGAGATCAGGAAAGTTAAATGCTCTGCTCAGCAAATGCTATGGTCTTATGCAAGAAGAAAGGCCAGACAAGCACAGCAAAGCCTCCACATTCACACCCACAGCACCTGGATGTGAGGAAATAAACAGGAGAATCATTCAACTCCCTTTTCAAACAGACTTGTGAAAAAGCAGAGACTTTTTAGTTAGCACTGAAATGAAACCAAGATTAAGTTAATCTTCCATAAACCATCACAACACAGGCTTTCAAATAGCTATCTTTATTTCACCTTTGTAACTGAATCAAGATCAATACGAGGTACACTTGAAGAGAGACAGGAGTTTGATGCACAGCTGCCAAGCACTACAGGGCCAGTGGAGATGTACAGAGCTGATGAAGGACACGAGGGCTCAGCTACGTGATTAAGTTACCATGCAACAACTTTGCTCCTGTAACTTAATCAACGGCGTGCTTTTAGTCTGCAGAGATAAAAAGCAGGGGAACTGGTGGCTTGCAACGGAGCACAGTTAAGCTAAAATTGCAGTGTACCACATTTCCCACAGGCCAAAAGCACACGGACCGTTTGTTTTCATGGATGAGCTAACATGCAGCACCCAAACATGTTAGTCTTTCACCAGATAAACAAACCAGCTCATGCAGCGCCAATTTAACCCGCATGTGCTATGCAGCAGCGTGGCTGTCAAGGACTACCTCCAGTAGTTTCAAGTCCAATATTCTCCCCTTTTTGCTCTGAACCAATTTAGCCATGTGTTAACCAGTCCAATTTAAAGCCCAGACACCAGAATAGAAGGAGCTTCTTGTCTACAAGGAAGTAAACACATTTCTGAGGCATCCTCCTTACCTACAAATATAGTTTGGTACCCAAACAGGATTTTTTTTTTCCACTGGAAACTATCTGAAGTTGACAGAGGTACTCCAGAAACATGCCAATTAGAGTGTCCTGGTTTGGAAGAAGCATACTTCCAGGAGCAGCAGCAGCAGCTTTTAGACTTGGAGAGGGGAAGTCAGTGAGAAGGCTCTCAGGACAGAGGGAGATTTGGTTTCCCCTAGGTATATAAAACTGCAATTTAGCACAGATCAGAGTTCAGCTGCACACAGAATGATGATGGGGAGCATAAATACAGCAGGGGAAATAAGGTGGCACTCTGAACTCCAAATATGCTTGTATTACATCACCTTTTAAGACAGCATGAGCAATGAACAGAACAGATTAGCATCAGACAACTTGTAGAATGCCTTTTGCAACGGCAGTGACAAGCAACTTGTTTTGTATGGGCAAATCTTTGCAGGTCTGAACTTCCATATGCAGTTTTCTGCATTACAAAGAAAGCAGCAATACCTCAATTCACATGGGCAGGCAACTAAACTCAGCAACAGATTTATATACTTTTTTTATATAAGTGACAAATACAACATGAATGTCAGTATATGGCTATCCACTTCAAATCTTCGTTTAGACATTTAATCTGTACATTTCTTTTCTTTGTTAAGGAATTTAACTCTACTTCCCCAGGCTCTAGAAGACTGCATCTTGTGCTTTTAATGTAAAAGACTGTCACAAGAGAGCAGCAGTGACCTCCACAGTGTTGCTATGAGACAGGAGCAAGTAAATAGAAGGAAACTATATTAGCCTCATCTCTCTTGAGAATACAGAGAGAAAGCGATGCCAAAGAGGAGAGTAAAATACCCATGCATGGGTATATCTGGATTCTAATACAGCTCATCCCTATCCTGAGATAAGCATCCTATCCTGCACTTGAAGCACGTTTGATTTTAAGAACATGCAAAAAACTCCACTGGGAATAGATATAACAACAACATGCTTCAAGCAATGCCCTGAACACAGACCCTGATCTACCTTCCAGCAGTTTATTTCAGAAGGTGAGCAAGATGGACCCAGGGAAGGCATATAGTACAGCAGGAATAAAGACCACACTCAGTTTTTTTTGACTGTGTCACAGGCTTCATCTTATCTGCTTACAGAACAGTCTTTTATTTCCCTAGGAAAGTTTGTTTCACTGAGCACAGCATCCATACCATGTGCTTTGTGCTGCTGGAGAAAAGCTCTCTGAATGTTTCCACGTGTGGAACATTCATATACCAGTCTCATTCAGCAGCAGATGGCACATCAGCATCACAGAGATCCTGGCTCCACTGGGGAATTTTAGAGGACAAGTCACACCTGCTCAGCTGCACCAGAGCAAGAACTAATACAGACAAGGTCTGGCAACTTCTAGCATGTTTTACAACTGCAGCCACCAGAAACAGCTCATTTCATCTCCAGGATTTCATGGTCTCATGCAGCTGTGTGGCTGGGGTCCTTCACAATCTCTCTGCAGAGGGGAAGCCTCCACACCAATCTGAGAAATATTAAGGGCTTATAACCCTTTTAAATACAAGACACAGGCCTTAACTGAACCTTAACCTCCCTCTTTACTGTATCTCACCAGATGGTGTGCTAAACGTGACTAGGAATTCAATCCACTATCTGGGGGCATGAAGGGAAATAAAAATATTAGAGGTTCTGCCCAAGTTAAATAAGATGCAAGTATCCTATATCCAAGTATCTAGACAGCCAACCCAGAGTAATCTTTGTTTCCAGATCTTGAAATCAAGCCTCTCACATCATTATTCTGTCACAAGACAATGGCTCCAAATGTCATAGTTCTCTTTCTTCCATTCAACCAGCAGTCCAGGTCCAGGCTCTGGGGAGAAGAGGGAAGTGGGCCAGCTGAAGCAGGCTATGAGACAGAGCTTTTACCCAGAGATAGCTGCACACCACCTGCTGATCAGGTGGTTTAATACATCTAACATCACCTCAACAAGCCCTTACCCACTTAAGGTGAGCCTCAGCTGCTCACACACTACTCCTTTTTAGGTAAAAAACAATCTTCCTGAAAGCTCCATATCTTTCTGGGAAAAAAGGAGGCACACAACACTGCAAGACCTAAACCAGGGAAGGCAAACGTGTTCACCTGACAGTCTAAGATGAGACCAAATAGCTAGGATGTCAAAGCTACTGAGATCTGTTCACTACAGAGACAGTGTGGTACCACAGGTACTGTACCAAGGTGAGCATGAAGCCTGTGGCATAATGCTTCTTGCCCTGGACAGAAAGGGCATGTCTGGAACAAGACTCATCTTCACACCTACCTTTAATAATTGCTTCCAAAACAAAAGCTAACTTGTATTATGTCACAAACAGAAAACACTGTGAGAGACAAAGACCTCAAAAAAAAAAATACATCAATGAACCTTTTACACAGCCCATCTTCTTTCCAGAAGTCATCCCTTCTAAAAGTAAACAAGACTTACCTCAGATCTACCCCAAAACCACCCACATGCTGTGAATAAGGAGGAACAAGAAGAGAAGGAGGGCCACCTACCCTATGTCTGGGGTTAGGTTATAATGATTCATCCCATAAGAGTAATGTTCATGAACTTTGGGTTACTAGCTAGACCAGTTCTCTTAAATTTAGCAAGAGCATCTTTGTAGTCTCAGTCTCTTCCCTGGCTTTTCTTCTCTGCAGTATAACTGGCATATGCTACGTCCTCTGCATCTCAAATAGGCACGTTTCTTACTCCTATATTCTTCCTTAGAAAAGCCAAAATATTCTACTATTCCTCAGCCAAGAAAGCCTGTTGATACACCCAACCTCCTGGCACTCATGTCACCTTAATTTCAGTAGGAAGGGCAAGGAATTTTCCATAGGGAGAGACTTAGTGAAAAAAAAATAAAAAAAATCAAAGGCCACATTACTGCCAAAACCCCATTTCCAGGATTTCTGTGCAGGAGCTTTCTCTGAAGTGCATCTCTTAGCAGTTCCACATCTATCCACCTGCAAGTGCAAATCAACTGCCAAGTCCTGCACTCAGAATACAGGCAAGGGGGGAAAAAAGATTTTAAAAAAAAAGTTATCTCCAGTCTAAAGCTGACCACCAAAACAGAAGGGAGTCCACCCATCTAAATCGAACCTTGTATTTAAGTTGTGAAAGGTTTAAGCAATTCCAGCATTTCAAAGCTGTAACTTAGTAACTCCATCCCCCTCCCCACCAAACTTTGCTGGGCAAATCTACAACAAATAACAGCAGGGCAGCACCCTCCATCCAAGGCTCCTGAGGTGAAGCTTATGCAAAGAAACTTATGGATGCCTCTGCTAAGGCAGACAACAGTCCATCTGTCCAGTAAACCCTGCTATGAAAGTTTTCACTGCCATCCAGCAACTCTTCAACAGCAGTGACCTTCAGTCACCGTTAATCCAGGTTCTATTTGAGCTGATAGATGAAAGACTTTATTTTTACTTATTTCCAAAGCCATCCATTTCAGCTCTAGTGAGTGAAAATGCTGAAGCAGAAGCCAACAGAGCTTATTAAAAATTGATCTTCGGGGTGCAAAACACAAAAAGGAGGATTTGTAGCCTGTCAGATAGTTATTCTCATGCATGCCATTAGTTAAAAAAATGCATAGCCCTGGTGCAAAGTAGGACACTAAAATATGATCCGCTGGTAGAGGACAGGGAGTTCATCCAGTTAGGAACTAAAGTGCTGTAGGTGAACTAACATTAGGGCTTTATTAAGTCATTCAGCAACCAAGTGTTATTGTCCTACACAGCCTGCTTAAAGTACAGTAAAGCATTTTTGAAGGATTTTAAAAATCAAACTAGTTTGACATAAGACAGTACACACCTACACATACTGGCTGCATTAACAGGTGGATTCTGAACTGTAAATAATCCTGCAATTCATTTTTCACACACAAGCAAATAAAAAGTCAAAATATCACTCAGACTCTTATAGCATCCACCAAGCAAGCTTTTGAGAGAGGTTTAAAGATAATTTAAAAGTCACCTACAATTATAAACAAGACAAGGACACAACAATAGTCCTCTGACTGTTCCTGACATATAGCTTCTGGGACCAAAACACTGAGCTCTGCAGTCTCTCCACACCAGTTTAAAAAAAAAAAACAAACAGAAGTCATCTGGTTAATCTCAAGTTTTGAAGGTGTGGTTATTTTCTCTCTTTTTAATTATGTAAAACTCAGGAACACATCTTGAGAGATATTTTGACTTATTTGCACATGCAGCTGGAATAGGCTCCAGCCACTGATAGTTACAGCACCCAGACAAGATTATATAAACTTTAAGAAGGACTCAAAGCAAAAACAAAAAGAAAAGGTGGATCTGGTAGAGTCTATTAGAGGCAAAAGTATTTTAATATAACATGAGGAGTTGGCAGAGTCGGACAGTCAAATTCAAAACCTTCCTTAGCAGGTCTGGCAGAAGCAGAAGGGAAGGGCTTTGCAGTTTGTAATGAAGAACTATTACATACATGACAGTCTCATCACCTACCCATTCTCCTGTTCTCCCAGGGCACCTACCTTACTGTATGTCACTACCGACAAGTTGTTCGAGTGACTGCTGGGGGAGAGATTTACAGAGTTTTGTGACAGTCCATTCTGATCTTGTTCAATTTGGTCAGGAGCAGGCCCCCACGTGTTTTTGCTGATTGTGCCTAGCTCAGAACCCCCAGGGTCTTTTAGGTTGTTTTCATCTGGTTGCCTGTTCTTCTGTGGAGAGGCGAATGGGTTAAAGTTTCCTTCTACCTTGCGGTGCGGTTGTGTGTTGAACTCCGTTTCAAAGGATGACAGCTGCTGTGTTACTCCTAGAAGTCCTCCAACTTCCACACTGAGGATCACCCAGATGACATCTGAGGAAAAGGAAAGACACTTGGGTCATTACTGGATGGAGATTATGGAGACGGGGAGAGAAGGAGAAAAAAAAACAGGACATGAATTCATTCCTTACAATAGGAAAAAAAATGGATTGTTTTTAACACGTTTCATAGAGCATCAGAAGTTGTGGTTAGGCACTAATCAAGTCTAAACTTTCAAGAAACCCAAGGCAGTTTTACTGAATTTAAAGGAACCAGGACAGGACATGCAAAAGACAAGCTGACATGACATCCTGAAACTCCATATTTCACTTTACCAACAGGATGCACTGAAAAAAGAAAACTGTAAGTGACTTTAATCGAGATTACACAGCAGGACTGAAACAAGAACCAGACAGAATCACTGCCAATCTGCTCTGCTGGTAAAGGAAAGATCTTTTTTTTTTTGTTTTGCATTAAAAGTTTTGGCTCTTAAAAACCAAGAAGGGTTGTTTGGAAAATAAATAGATTTATTGCAGTTCACATTAATTTATCTCTATTCTAGTTCCAAGATGTCTCCAGCAGGTGGACACCTATCTAGACTGGTAAACTATTACACAAGTTTGCAAACTACTGGTTAGAATAAGAATGTACATAAGTTCTTACATAATGTGTGTCTTTTGTACACAGATAAGATTGTTTTTCTGCTTACTAATTCATTTGTACTCCATGCAAACACTACGGCATATTCACATAAACCCACTTCTTGGTACGTATCCAAATTCAATTCTACTGCTTTTTTCCCCACCTCTTCACTAAATGTGCTCCCGTTCTGTTTTGCTGCACGGAGCTAGAAAATTAACAACAGCAATAGCTAATCTCAGCTGATCTAATAACAGGACCTCAACCACTCAGGTTCCAGCTTTCCCACCGTGCTGGCCTACAAGGGGGTCTTCTGTACTGTCACCAATGGTGTGGGGGAGAGAGACAGCAGACACTTCTGTGCAGTTTTACCACCACCACTTTCAGACAGCTTTCATGCACTAAAACACTCCTTCCAGTCACTCACCACCTGAAGGCAGCTCGTTAGCTTGCATTTTGTAACCCAATTAATGACAGCAAGATACCACCCTACACAAGCCCTGCTGCTCAAGGAGCACAGCACACTGCCAGCACCCAAATCCCACACAGCACTTCTGGCTCCCCCTGCTGCAGGCCTGACCAAAACCCAGCCAGCAGGCACAACAGCCCTGGGTCTCACCTTCCTGCTGGACCTGAGCTCAGGAAATTAAGCATTAAGCAAAGGCAGCTCTGATTCTAAACTTACTTGCCAACAAGATTTTAATTAGCAGGTGGTTTTCTTTCAAAGTGGGGAATTTGAGGAAATTTAGTGAGATCTTAAGCTGTTTGTTTGTTGGCATGTAGGAAAGCCTTGGATTAATAAACACACAGGCTGGTGGCAGGCAATGCAAGTTGAACAGGCCTTTCTACCTTCCAACCTAATTTATGCACACATTTCAAGGACAAGTTGCATCCACTTGCAACACAGCAGAGCCTTACTCCTGCTGACAATTCTGCCAAAGAAATGGAGCAAAGAGTTATTTTTGACTCCCAGTGCTAACATCTCTCACTCAAAACCCATGTACTTGGGACACTCCCAACTGCCAAAACAGACACAAAGCTGTTCTCAGTATAAACTACAGCTGGCTAAAAATGACTAAAAGACTCCAAATGAATGAAGATGCTGGTGGCTAGCCTGAGGCACTGCACAAAATTAACAAAAAGTGATTTCTGAACACAGAAAACCAGTTCACAGTAGATGTTTTAATAAGATAAACTTGGTAAACTTTTCCTAAACTTGTCAGATTGGGTTTATACCATTTAGATTTTGTCTGTATGTAGTTTGTGATGATCAGCACTGAAAAACTTGAAAGAATTCTGACAGGGTAAGAGCCAGAAGGAGAACTGTACCAGTTCCTTTGTTTTTAAGAGATTTGTGTAATCTGCAATTTGTTCCAGTGTTTAGAAAACAGCTCTGTGCTGACCAAGACAACAAGGCAGCTCACTTGATGCTTTCTCTGCTTTCTATATTTAGTCTCAGAGCTGGCAGACCTCTCTACCTTTCTGCTTTTAGTCAAAGCTCACTGAAGGCAAGCATTCTATCTCAGATCTAACTGCAGTAGTTAGTAGACCACCAGAGCACAACATTTTCAATATGGAAACCAAGGTCAGTCCACAACTGTTAGTTTGGTTATTGTATCTTTGCACAGCACAGTGTCATGCCAACAGCAATTACAATAAATCACACAAAGATTATGGGTAGATTATCACTTTGTTATCAGGGGAGCATCCGCAGGGGAACAGGAGCACCCTTTCTGTTTATGATGGGAATATCATGAAGAAGTGCCAGGAAAGGCATCACTCACCTCCATAATACAGTCCTGTGGCAGTGCACATTCGCCACTGTCCCTGATACATTCCTGCTGTGCTGGGGCTGCACATCTGAACGCTGACGTCTGCAATCTCCTGGGGCTCCAGGGACCTGACCATTACCATGTTTACATGGCCAAACTGGTCTCCCCCAACATACTTCAGACAAACTCCTGGAGGCCATACCTCTGTCCCTGGGATTAAGCAGAGGAAAAAAAAAAAAAATTAGCAACAGTGCATCAGGAAAAGATGTTGTGTTCATTTTTATGAGACTGGGTGAAACACTTATTAAAACAGTTGTGCAGTTGTTGAACAATTAAAGCAATACCAAGATATATATATATCACAGCCAGCAATGGATACAGAAGAATACAGTTTTCAGATAAGGTTTAGCTGGTCCACTTTGTAACCAGCAGGCAATATCACATTTCTATTGAAATAATCTCTAGCTCTTCTTTAGGCAGGAAAATCCTCAAAGTCACAGCGAAACAGCTGCAAAAGAAAAAAAATCAACATAACTGACATTCACTTCATACTACAGACAAAGAGGTGAGACACTTTTCTTTTCCTCATTTCTGCCTTCCTACGTGTAGCTCCTGAGGTTTTCAACATCAAAATGTATGTTATTATCTCAAAGTGCTGGAAGCATTTTCTTTCAGGCATTCACTCCTTTTTCAGCCTGTTAGTCCCAAGAGAAACTCATACTCTGAATTACAACTGAAGAGCTAGTACTGTTTTTTAAAAGGATTTGCACCCCTTCCTGCACCAACTCTTCTCTCAGCCTTGCAAAATGTGATTTATTTGTGGAGAACAGTGTTTAGACTGGAGATACTGGGAGTGACAGTGTGACCTGGCAATCTGGATAGATTCAGAAGGCAGTTACTGCATGCAAACACAGCCGTTTCCTCCAAAGATAACAAGTACTGAGGCAAACAAACAAACAAACAAAAGCTTAGCAGAATTTTCTTTTGCTTCTTCTCCAAATTGCGGCAGGCCAAAGTCTTTGAGAACACCTTCTGCTTGGCTAAGGTTGTAGGAAACAGTTAATTGGAAGAACCACCAAGAAGCTTGGAACCACTCAAAGTCTATTCTGAGGCCAGAGTGATGGATGCTGATCTGACCTCAGGTTACCTCCAAGAGCATCCTGCAAAGGATGCAAAACAGCTTGTCTGCTAATTTAATCCCTGTGGATGCTTCAGTGAAACTGGCAATAGCTTTTTAGTAGTATTCTTATTTATGGAACTCTCCATCTAGCAAGGAAATAAAGATGTGAGCTAATAACATTGGATATTCAGAATGGAGAACACGCAATGCTACAATTGGAAACACTGCAGAGATAGGGAGGTAATTGAAAGAGAAAAGCTGAGTGATTAGCTGGTCTCAGACTAAGGCATGGGGGAGTCAAGTATGAAGTCTCCTCTGAGAAGGTTGGCAGCCCAGCAATAGGGTTTAGTTTAAACAATGTGACTTTTATCAGTTAAGAATCAAAGATGCGTAGAATGCTGCAATTAATAAGCCCCATAAAAAGAATCAATCATAGAATTGTAGGAGCTGGAAAGGGCCTCTAGAGTTCGAGTCCAAGCTCCCTGCTAAAGCAGGTTCTCTACAGCAGGTCATACAGGAGATTCCACAACCTCTCTGGACAATCTGTTCCAGCACTCCATCACTCTGACAGCACAGAAGTTCTTCCTTGTATCAGTATGGAACTTCAGCTCGATGCCCCTTATTCTACTGCTGCTCACCACTAAAAGGAGTCCACACCCACCAACCTGACTCCTGCACTTTAGATGTTTATAAGTAGTGATGAGATTCCCCCTCAGCTTTCTCTCAGAAGGAACAGTCTCAGGGATCACAGCCCTTCCTCATACAGGAGATGCTTCATACCCTTTGAACATCTTTGTCACCCTCCCCTGGGCTCTTTCTAGAAGATCTCTATCTTTTTTAGAACAGGGGAGCCCAGAACTGGACTCCAGATGTGACCCCACTGGGGCACAGCAAAAGGGGAGGATCATTTCTTTTGACCTGCTAGCCATACTCTGTACAATGCAGCCCAGGATATCACTGGCCTTCTTGGCCACAAGAGCACACTGTGGGCTCAGTGCTCCTCTCCAGCAGGGCAGTCCCTGACCTTACTGGTGCATGCAGTTATTCCTCCCCAGGTGCAAGACTCTACACTTGTTCTTGTGGAACCTCACCAGGTTCCTCTTTGCCTGGCTCCCCAGTCCATCCAGGTCTCACTGAATGGCAGCACAGCTTTCCAATATGCCAGCCACTCCTCCCAGCTATCATTAGCAAACTTGCTGAGGGTGGACTCTAACCCTCCATCCAGGTCACTGATGAAGATGATTATGTCATTCTATTTCAGTACACTCATCTGTCAGGAGATGATGAATTGCAGTAACTGTCCTGCATGCAGAGCCAGCAGCAGCTGGGGGTGGTGTAGGAAGAAGAAATACAACTTAAATTCTGCTGGTCTTTTAGCACTGCTTCTATTATACGGCCCAGACTTTGAGCAGACAAGCCAAGCACTATCCTTGAAGATATCAGAGCAGGGTATTAGTTTTTAATAACATAAAAACCTGTCTGAACCTGGCTTATTGCTTGCATGCCTAAAACTGACAGTCTCCCAGAGCTGTGCTTGTCATACTCATCAGACACCAAGTGCTTGGGTGACACATGCCTCAGGTATTTCTTGTTCTAGGACTGAAATCATTTAATCGAGGGCTCCTGTGGAGCTGTTAAAAACCTTGGCTTTACTTCAGTTATCTGCCTAACAAGCAGATATTATCTAGAAACACCACAGTCTTTTGATATTATATCTTAATTAAACCTTAAAATGGTTGTAATATGCCCTGGTTCTGCTTAAACTGTAGTCACAACACAGTATGTGGAGGTGCATTTAACTAAAACATGCCTCAACAGCATGGTTTCAACAAGATTTGGCCTCTAGCACCAGTATTCAAGCACAGATGTACTTTTAACAAGTTGGGCTTTAACCCACACAGAAGCCAAAACAAATTTTGGCCTCGCCAGGAGCTCGTGAGTCAAGATGAACTTCTTTTCCTCATTTCAGCAGGCCCATGGATTTCAGAAGGTCAAACAGACCACAAACAATGAAAAATGGCTTGAACAAGGATGTTAAATTAAGGCTGAATTTGCATTCAAGAAAGAATACATCAGAAGAACAAGAGAAGGAGGAGTCTGAAAGGAGCTATGTAGGGGGTGTAGTCATAACTCATACAACTTAAGATACTAATAGTGGAGAAACGAGATCTGTCAAGCTTACTACATTTTAAGACTTGATTGAGACAGTTATAAAAGTTTTCCAGTCAATTTTGCACATTACAGGAGTTCAAGCAAGCTCCGTTACCTTTCTATTTTACTAAGTCAAAAAAGGCAGAAGAAAATTGAAATAATTAAATCCTTTTTCTAGAATATGATGCTTATAAATCAGTGTTCTTACATGCACACTTCTCACCTCCAACATCCTGATTAAATACTCAGATTTTTAATAGGGTTTTAGCCTTTGTTACACTGCAGTATTTAGCACAAATCTCTACAGCACTGAGTACTGCAGTCGTTTTCAAGTAAAGACACTTGCACAGCTGTATGTTACTCATGATGATTCATGGTGTTACACCTTGTCGTGCTATCATTCTTCCTCACAAAAGTGCAACCAGGTCAATTAAATTCAGACACACAGGTTAAACATTCATGCAACATCCTGTCATTGCAACAGTCAAAGACAAGGTATTTCCCTCTGCATCCTCAGATCTCTCTGACTACATCCCTAAAGATTAAGGGGTTTTGCCTAGTCTCACTTCCCAGATTGCAGCCACTGCTTTGATTTATTTCATACTGGGATGTGCTCTCTCCATCTCTGCATTCTCCTGAAGCATGAAAAAGCCATTCTGCCAAAGGTGCATTAAAAAGTAAAGGGTACCTCTTCTCAGACTGTGGCATCACTGCATCCACAGAGAACGTTAATACTGAGAACCCAACCACCAAATGGCAGGCAATCAGAAAAACAGAGTAATGAAACGTAGTGGTTACATACATAGGCCAGCCATGAGCTGAAAGGCTTCCAGGTTTAAAGGAATCTCTCTCTTAAGTGACTTGAAGATGTACTCCATTTGTCAAGTGAACATAAAGCTAGCTAAGGATTCTCAACCTATTTTCAGATTTAACCTCCGTTACAAAAAGCAAAACAAGAGAAGTACTTCATTTGCTATTTATATGCCTCTTCCTCCAAAAGCTTCCTAGAGCTTTTGTTTCTGTGATGACAGGAGGAAGAACAGCTCCACAACCAGCCACAAAACCTAAAGTGCTGACGTAGGAAGGGGAATGCAGACAGGTCAGCAGGCGACCTCCTTCAGCAGCAGCGTGGCTTTGTTCCAAGGTAGGTGCACGCGAACCTACTGCCTTAAGCAACATCTCTTCCATTAGATCTGCCACCCTATCACATAATACACATTACATGGGTTTTGCTCGAGTCAGATAGACTTACCTGTGTTTTGTATCCTCCATGTTTTTGTAAACTGGGTGTCAGGAGGGATGGACTCCCCTTCACCTATGGTGACATCTTCAACAAAGGACATGGAGGGTACGTTGATGTTTGGACTCTCAAAATCATAATAGGCTCCAATGGCTGCTTGTAGATTCCTAGAAAGCAAAAAGCAGCTTATAATCTTAAGCACAGAAGGATCAGGTTCTGACAATTAAATATATATATATTATCCAGATTATATTAGTTCTGCTGCTTGCACTTTCCTAAAGCTTCCATCACTATTGCGTGGATTTTCCAAGCTATCCAAATTCAACATACAGCATTTTATTTTCCATGGACACTACTTCAGGGCAACATTTCTAGCCTGATTCTCATTTTTTTTGAAAACCTGGAACTTAAGAGTCTGTAAGGCCTTTGAGCCATTAGCTCTCTCTTGAGACCTGACAATAAGCTGAAAAGACAGTGAGTTAAGTGTTGTGCACCACGTGTAAACAGAGCTGCTTCCTTACTAGCCTTGTTTCCTGGGCTAACTTCAAGACGACTCAAATTCTCCACTTTATTTTGGTGTGAAAGGTCCAAAAGACCACAGGATGAACACTCTCATAATTCTGCAGGCTAAAGAGAATCAGCAGCTACAGATAATGACTCAAGCTTTGCTGCTTTTGAAACATACGTTCATAAGAGCTATGAGCACTCTAAGACTATTTATTAATCATTAGGTGTCTCTGGATAGTCATGGCTCAAAGGAACTTACAAACCATTGAGACAAGCATTCTTCCTGAATAAAAACAAATGACAGTGGAAGCCTGTGATGTATTACAGACATTCAGAAAGCCACAAATGCTATTGATTCATGGTCACGGTGTAGCAGAAACTCAAACGGTAATTATTCTGAAAAGAGGAACAGTCAAACAGGAAGAGGATCCATGAGTCTCAGCTGCCATTCCACGATATACTACTGTGCCATTATGTAAGTGTTTTGGCAAGGCATGTAATTCCTCTGTTTACGCATGTCTGGGAGGTTGTGGCCCTAATTTACATGTTGTGAGTAAGTGCTGGGAGGATGGAGATGAGTAAAATCTCTCCAGAAGCAATGGGCAAAGCAATTGCTTTTTTATTCGTAATTACAGAGCTACTTTTTTTTTTTTTTTTTTAAGAAAGACAAGAAAACCTTCCAGAACCAGGAATCACCACCTAAAACAGAAGACACATAGGAGAAGCTGCAGTATATGGGAATGGTGATTTATTGTGGGTTAGTATTGTTTGGTGGAGTGTCATGTGTCTAAACCAAAGCCAGAAAGCCAAGGCGAAAACAAGAAAAACATTTGCAGCATGACCCTGAGAAAAAGCAAACACAGGGCTTTTTGGACTGCCTGCCAGCTGGAAAGAGCCTTGAAACGGTGAGCAAAGAGACTGCCTCCTGTTCAATTCCTACAGTGCTCAAGGAAAAAAAAAGTAATAGGGAGACATGGAGTAAAATCAGAAGCGCATGGGAGAGAAGCATCACTGATTGCTGCTCACACAGCAACCCAGAGCTGCCCTGTTGTAAGACTTGCACATTTACAACTCTGGATTTTGGACCAGCAGTCATTATTCAGCCTGAGGCATTTTCTACTTAGGAGTGTCAGGGCTATATTTAAACAGACAGCTCAGTCCAGTGCTGCAGGAAGGGTGCGTGCCACATTAGCCAATAAATAGAGACAAATGCTCCGTTTTACATCACTGACCGCCTGTTGCTGATACACCACACCAGATTTACATAACTTGCAGAAGGGCCGTGCCAGGAGCCTCCTGTTCACTCAACCAGCTAACACTACAGCCTAGAGTTCAGTTTTCACTTTGATTTCTTCCTGCATTACAGCAATCCAATGCAAAAGGTATTGTAAGAAGGATAACAGACAGCAATACAGCTCTTTCTCTTCCTAATCCACTCAGACATACCATATTGCATGCTACAGTGCTGGAATCAGTAGAAATGACATTTTCTTGACATTAAGAAAGAGAAAATAAAAGTTCCAAGGGGAAGCTTGCTGCTGTAATCCATTGTAAGGCAGCCTGCACAGTGTTTTGTTTGCTTGGCTGTAAATATGCTTCAAAGGTAGTGGGCTATTTGTGCACATAGGCTCTCTGCCAACTTTCTTCCCCTCCCTGTGTCATATTTCATTGCTTGCTTTGCCATTGGGAAACAACCCCAGTCCTCTGCAGCATATAGTTAGCCTTTTAACTCAAGAGTACATGCTAAGAAACAGATCTGCCACCCTTCTGTGATCACACATCACAAAGCCACCTCCCCTCTCCCACTATTTCGATCAGCACGCAGCAGGTTTGGTTTGGGGGTGAACATTTGGGTGCGTTCCAATACACAATGGCCTTTCTACTGGAGAACTAAAAGGAAGCTTCCAGAAACCAAAGAGAAATCGAAAGTAGCAAGAGCCAAAGTCAGGATGACAAAGCAAATCTGACTGAAGTTCAAGTTCTTCAGCACAGGCAGCACGAAGAGATGCCACGGAGCGGCTGCACGGCACCGCGCTGCTGCAGACACTCACAGTGCTCACATTTTAGTCATGCTCTCTGCTTACACAACCAGCAAAGAAAGCAACCTATCACTGCTGGCTTTGTTTCTGCTCTTTCTGAGCAAAAGTCAGGTATCAGTGTGAACGCAGTCCTTTGCTTGAGGGCCACGTCCAGAGGTCACAGCTGCAAAATGCTCAGCCTGATTACTCACCTGTTCTCCAGACTGAGTATCATTTGCAGGACTGAATACTGCTGTCTTTCTACTGGAAGCACAGTATTTGTGGGCTTTACAAAGAAATGCTGCTAAGGAGACTTTGAGGTCACAGACACGAGTCCCTGTAGTTTGCCTATATATATTTGCAGTTATTATTAGGTCTTTACCCTCGTGCCCCAGATATAACTGCAGAGCACCAACTGCAGATCCTCTCAGGAGGGGAACGAGGAGTTAAAACTAAAGAGGAAGGAGTTATCATTTGAAAGCTCCTGCTTACACATTAATGCCAGCCTGCTTTCACTCCCAGGTGCGACTTGCACACACTTACCCCCTTTGCTCCCTGCCATGTGATATCAATTACTATCATAAACCAAACAACTTTGGAGCTGTAAGATGAGCATGCCCAGCCCAGCCCATGCGATTTACATGACTGATCTATCCTAATTACAGGGATATAGGCCATATTTCTGTCTCTTTCTCAGCACAGCCCTCCAGTTGTCATGCTCTCCCAGGTGAAGCAATTGGGCCCTTCCAGGAGGGCAGCAGGGCTCTGCCATGCTCACAGAGCAGGTCTGGCAGGGTTTAACCTCAGCCTCCTGCAATGAGAAATCACACAGCAACAACGTGAGCCTTCTTACCACCAAAGCAGAGCTCTGTTTCAGTCCTGAGAGGGGGGAGAAGGCAGCAAATTGTAGCTTCATATCATCAACCAAACCCACTCCAGCTCCGGGTACCCTGCTCCTTCCTCTGCAAAGGCATCACATGTCTCAGGTAGCAAATGTGCTCCCAGCGAAGTGCTACCGACACAACGGGAGAAAGTGTTCCTTTTCAAGCCCATTTTCTGCTCCGCCGTTTGGTTTCAGGCCTCGCGAGCTAAATTACAATAGAAGTTAAAACCTTCCCTGCTAATAGCTCTGGAGATGTCCCTTAACAACTCTTAAGTGTTTGCGAAGAGGCGGTTTATCTCGAGCCATTCTCTCCCTTCCCATGTTTCTTCCAGACAGCCTTTTGTTATGTTAAACCAATATATTTAGACAGTAATTACTCCCAATTAACTAGGTCACCGCGCAGAATTCAAAAATAAAAGGAACTCTTCTAAATCAATTCAAAAACCAGAGCACTCTTCGTACAACCGAATGGTTGTGCAAGGGAAGAGCAATATACGGGTAATTGGAAATGATTTTTTTTCTTGCTTTTAATTGAATCCGATTCCTCATTACGAGAAGGAAGAAACCGTGGCACTGAGACTCGCTCACATCGGCCTCGAGCAAAGCAGAGCAGACGCAGGGAACTGTATGTGGGTTTGGGTTTCAACCCAGCAGCTTAGGGATCTGAGCTATGGGAAAGCATCCCTGAAACACGCAGGCTGATGCTCTGAAGTAATTGTTGACACAAGAATTACACTCCGAAGTAACAGTTACAGTAGCAAGCAATGGCTTGATAGTTAAAATTTTAACTGTATTCTAGGAATCTAGAAGTTTTCTTTTAAAGTCTTTGATGAACCCAAGTCAGATTAAGACAGCCTCATGCCCTCAAACACCACATGCAGATTTTGCTCCTATGGGCTCCTGGTGCCCTTTGCCAGTCATAGAAAGTGAACGTTCTTCCAGCACTGATTCTCCTGAGCTGTCAGGAAAAAAACAAAGGTTACCTTTCCAGTGCAATAGCAATTTAGCCTTCAACTTGAAATCTCACGCTGCATGCAGCTCTTATATCATACACAGACAACTTGAGGACATTTATTAAGTCGAGTAGAAAGAACTTTGACAAATGGATTCGGTTGCAGATGGCTGCAATGAAGTGAACACCAGGTTACATTTCTCTCCCTCTGAGCAGCTCCCAATTCAAAGCCAGGCAGCTGCATGGCCTCAGCACTCACATGTGGCAGAATATCTGCCATGCCTAAAGCAGCTCAGGGGTTATCGTGTAAGATGTGACACAAAGGCTGAATGACATAAGAGCACAATGACATCTCAGTAACATATGGCTCTGTGTAGGAGGCTTTGTACTTTCCATAACTGAATTGTCAAACTTTACACTCTTGCTCTCATTGCCTAAATGCCCAACGAGGCATCTGTGGTTAAAAACCAAACATGCAAGAGAAGTGATGCAACAGATGGATCATTTCTTCCTCCTCAATAATGGATCTTCTTTACACAGTACAGGTGGAAGAGATTGAAAACACACGTGGAACACATCCCAGTGAGGCAATCCTCAGGCCGCTCCTTTTGCCTCTTCATATCTTCTTTGGAACTGGATTGACCAAAAGATCTTCTGCAGTAGGAAGCACCTTGAAGCATTAGAGAAAGGTGAAGGGGAGATAGAATCATCACACCACAGGAAAGGCACTTTTACCTGCACTTGGCTTCAAAGGTTTTCAAATAGAGATGACACATGGCAATTAAGGGGGAAAAAGTCCCATGACAT